TACTATGACCTTTTCCTTTGAATCTTCTTTTCTCTGCTTGGGATACTTGTCCACCCATCCTGCAGATACTTGCCTGACTATCGTCACCCTTCTAGATGCAGCTCAGAAGCTGGATCCCTTCACCTCTTCACAAGGACTGCTCCCCCAGGTCATTCTCTATCACATCACCACATTTATTTCCTTCAGATAGTTTCCCCAGTGTAAATATCAAGTTCCTGTATTAGTTGTTCTCTCTCCCCCACAGGAATACAAGTTCTACGAAGACAATATCTATCTTGTCTACTCAGGTATGTGTAGCACCCAGAAATTCACATACTGGAGTGTTGAATTATTTCAGAGATGCTATCTCACATTCTGTTAAGTGACTTGCTGGAATCAGCCACCACAGTTAGAGATGACTGCCTTTGGCTGCAGGCTTTTCTACTATTTACCCTACCTGCCCTAGGAACAATATGTAAGATGATTCATTTAAGCCTTTATTTGAAGTGTTGCCTTTGAGAGAGTTGTGAAGAGGGAATAAAGAAGAAAGAATGTTGTTTGAAGGTAAAGAACACATAGGAAAACAGGCAGTGTGGGAAAGGGGAAAGCGCATGACAATGGGAGCCCTGGAAAACTCATTTTCTGAATCTGCACAAGGCTACTGGCAGGTATAAGAAGCAAGAAATGAGATTTTACAGAAAGGGGTCCAAGAAGATCAGGGTATCCTAAAATCAGATGTAATTCATTCCTAATAAAGCAACTGGGAGCAGAGGAAATAAACTACTTAAAATATGTAGACTATTTACATAATCATGGGGAATAAATGGTCACTTGGAGTCTTGACTGGGTTTGATGAAAAGATAGAAAATACCAGCCACTGCTTTTCCATGTGTTTTCATCGCTGTGACCAAAGGGCCTGACAATGACACCATAAGGGAAGAAAAGTTGATTTCGGCTCATGGTTTCCGAGGTTCTGTCCATGGTAGGCCAACTCTATAGCTCTGAGGCAGAACATCGTGGCAGAAGAGTGTGGAGGGGAATGCTGCTCAGCTCAAGGCAGCAGGGAAGCAGAGGAAGAGGGAAAGGGACCACAGGGAAGATGCACTTTTCCTGGGCACACCCCCAGGGACCTACCTCCTCCAGTCATGCCTCACCTTCCTACAGTCACCACCTGTCAGTCTGTTTAAACTAGAATGAACTTTCTAGGTTAGAGTTCTCATAATCCATCCATTTCACCTCTGAATATTCCTGCATTAGGAGCAGCTTTGGGGGGACACCTAATATCCAAACAATATGGCTGTGCTGTTTAGGTTCCTTGCAGGGGTACACATGAATGTGGTACAGACTCCCAAGGGCTTACTCCAGTAGGAGAGCCAAAGGAGATGACTTTGCTTAGCGCTGAGTAAAAAAAAAGCCACAGCTGCCTTGAGAGCACAGAGAAGCACCAAGATGAGCTGGGATGTGGGTCAGGGAAGGCTTCCTGGAAGAGGTAGTTCTAAACAGAGCCTGACAGAGTATAAGCTGGGTAAATAAAGCACCTCAAAACCCTACTAGGGCAGATAATCTCTAGATTCAGGTAGATGAAGCGGAAGAGATTCTGAAGAAGAGAGACTAATCTGCTTCTAGGCTGATGTTCTGAGTGAAGTATTTGGAGAAATGTCTTAGTGTATGAACTCTCTGATCCAAAGATAAGAAAAACTACCATAAAATCAATACTTCCGTTGATCTAAGCAGACTGCCATACAATAAATTGCTGAACTACTACTAGTAATCCCTGGTACTATTTTTGAGTGTATATTCTGTCTTTGGTTACCTTTCTCGGTCTCCACATACTAGTTTTTCACTAATAAAATGGAAAGAAAACTATTATTAAGTTTCACCTATCTTCTTGTCTACTGTGTATTGTTGTAGTTATTGACTTAACTTATTGGATAGGCATAGAAAAACTGCAAGTGACTATGCAATAGTAACTCTTTTTATAAGTCAAAGACCTGCTAAAGAAAACTCACCTCTTTCTAGGGGCTAAAATGGCTTAGGCTCTAGGTCAATTTTCATAAATTGATTCATTTACGTTTGCAGCTTCCATGCAGAGTAGAATTCATCGTACTGAGTTTTTGTAGGTTAAGATAGTGAAATTTTGAAAGTAAGTGACTTACCCTACTTCACCATAGAAAATGCTGCACCTGACATCCATTTCTTTTCCACCATATTTCTTTTTAAGCAACACATCTCAAATTGGAAGGTATTCATGAGTCACTCAATGACCTGGTAAAATGCAGATTCTGATTCAGTAAGTCTGGGGTATGACCTGAAACATTTTCCCAGGTGAGAAAACTATGGTGCCCAGGGACCGTATTTTGAGTAGTAAGATTCTAATCTAGACAAATGTCCATTTGCTAGGTGGAAAGTTTCAACTTAAGGCTAACATGTTACAAAATTCTGCTTCCTTGAGTAAAACAGAGTTTAGAGCATACTGTACCAGTTGATTCTTGCCAAGAACAATGCAAGACTCTGAGCTGGAGACACATGCTGTATCAGGAGCTAACCCCTATGAATGTCTTCCTTTCAAATAGGTAAAAGGAATTTCTTCCAAACCATCTTGAAAAGGTTGCAACTGTATAACACAGACCCTCAAAGAGATAACAGCTCCATCCATTGACACCAATTATAGAAGGCAGAAGTTACGCCTGGGGGTTTGCAGAACTCAAACCAAAGTCTATACTTGAAGCAAAGACAGAAACAGCTTGTTTTATCACTATCTGAGATTTAGAGATAATTCTGGGGAGAGTCCCATACTATAAGCATCATATTATTATCTTTCTGAAATAAAACTATAAATAGCAATGACACTTATAAGATCTCAGTATGCCTTTTCCAGAAGCAGCGAACATTAAGGAACCCAGTAGTGGTAAAAGGTGTGTTATGGTTTAAATATGTGGTGTCCCTCAAAAGCACCTGTGTTGGTGCAGGAATATTCAGAGATGAAATGATTGGAATACAAGAGCTGTGAACTAATCAGTTCATCCTAGTTTGAATGGACCAGCCGGATGGTAACCTTAGGCAGGTGGGGTGTATCTGGAGGAGATCACTGGGGGGATGTGCCCTGGAAGCGTCCATCTTCCCTTTGGCCCCTTCCCTCTGTCTCTGCTTTCTGGAAGCCGTGGACAGAGCAGCTGTCTTGCACTACACCCTTCCACCAAGATGTCCTGCCTTATCTTCCTTGTGTGCAGAGCAATGGATTTAGCCAACTAGGAACTAAATCTCTGAAACCATGAAGCAAAATAAACTTTCCCTCCTCAAAGTTGTTCTTTTCAGGTATTTTGGTCACAGTGACACAAAGAATCCAGGGTGGAAGAATCCACTCACATAATGGTTATCTGCAAGGCATCAATCTTCAAAGATTTCTACACATTTGCTCTATTTTTATTGAGAGAATATCACATGTGGTTTACATAGCATTATCACACTGTAGAGAGGAAGGAGATACACCTGTTTCATGTGCCCAAGAAACACTGGAAGAAAATAAACAGTCAAGCATAGGACCCAAGAATAAGAACCTGTGTCCCAAGTCACCATTTGTGAGATCACTTTCCAGTGGTAGAGGTAAAAAGATCATTACTGCTGGTGAAATGAAATGGAGATGTGATTGGAAATGTAGGCCTAAGGTGTATGAGCATTATTCCAATAATCAATCACCTAAATTGAATTGCTTATTTGTACATCTGATTGTCTTTGCATTATTTAGAAGCTATTTAATGGCAGCCAGCCTGACAGCGTGCATCTAACACATGCCAGATAGATTTAAGAGACTCAGAAACATCTCTTTCTAATTGTTTGGACAGGAATATTGATTGCTGTTTCCTCTTTCAGGGTTCACTAAAGCTCTTTGCCTCCTTTCTACAAGGGACTCACATACACACATGTGCACCTATGTAGAGAATACACAATGTCCATTGCTATGGTGGAAACTGCATAAACCCTTAAATGAGGTGTGGTGTATTGAGAGCCCAGAAGGTAGGGGACCTGTCCTAATTTCAACATAGCTATTAGGCCCAGATTCTACACAGAGGTTGCAGAGGTGGTTAAAAACCCTCACAGTTATTTTGTGTTCTCTGGGTGGGGAAGCAGGGCTGCCTATTCAGAGAGGCTGTGTTTTGCTGTGTTATGACTGTCTGACACTCTCCCCAGGAAGCTGAAGGAACTGGCCCAGAGCTGGGGCCAGGGGGTGACATTGGCTCTTGCCTTTTAATTTTTTTTTCATTTCTGCAGTTCAGATGACAGGGAATGAAAAGATACCACCTTTGGTGTGTGTCTGTGACTGGGAGGCCCAGTGTGGCAGACCCTGTGACTCCAAAACCAGTTCCTCCCTGTGCTCACCTCGCTAGCCTGGCAGCTTTATTACACTGTGGGTTTTCTTGGATATTAAATATAATAAATTAAAAACTAACAACATTAATATTGTGGCAGATGATGGCTTTTTTAGCTTACATTGCTTTAAAAAAAAAGAACATTGATGTGCTGTGTATCTTTTCTATTAGAATGATGCTTTTTGTTTTTCTCTTCTTTGTCCCTGTCAAAGTTTATTTTAGTGCCTTCCTTTCTCACAGCCTTCCCTTGAGGGGAACTTGATGGCAGTACTACTGGAAGCCTGGGCTTTGGTCAGGGAAGCCTCCGGGAGTCTGAGCCCTAACATAAGCCCCATCCCCCAGAATCCCTGTGTGTTTCTGTTTGGCAGAGAGAGACCTCCTGCTCCAAACAAGGGAACTTGGAGAGACTCACATCTAGAAAACAGCTTTCGCAGAATGACATTTTGATGAGTAAATTAATCTGAAAGGCACTCACTTTATTCTCTGGATGTTTCCCAGGTAAATCTCAGAAATGGAGAGTGACAGTCATTTTTCACACCAGGAAGTCCTTTGTCAATAATCACTGGCACTTTGATGAGCTCAGAGGGCCGCTTGTGTTCAGTCCCACCCATGACTGAACTAGCAGGCAAAGCCAGTTTCCAGCAGACTCGACCCACCCTGTCCCCTCAGAGTCTTCAGCCCTGGGCTTCTCTTAGGAGCACAACATGAAGTGCTGGGGAGAGAGAGCAAGATGAGAAGGCAGGTTGTCCACGACCTCCACCCGTTTCTGGCATGGTAGGCAGGTGGGCCAGAAGATGAGGCGTGCGGCAGCAGTGAGAGTCAGGACCACATTCACAGAAGACAGACAGATCAGCTTCTCTTTGGGAGTTGAAGAAGGATTGAGGAAGGGACATTTCATAGGATTTGGAAGGAGGAAGAGGAACCTGGCAGCCTGCTCAAGGTTGTAGAGATGGGAAGAAGCAGAGGCAAACTCCAACTCACAGGTAAGTCGGTGCTCCCACGCTCCAGGCTTCACCTCCAAGAGCCTGCTGGAGTCGAACTCCAAAGTCACCCACCAAGTCCTTTGCCAGCTGATTCCAATCAGAGGACTTCTCAGCACCCTGAGTAGGTGCTGAGGGGAGCTGGGTGTCCAGGCTGTGCGGGAACACATTGGGAAAGGTAAGGCCTAGAGACTGTGCCCCCTCCAGGACAGCCACCTACCCTTTGGCCCTATGCATAAGTCTTTGTTTATGTCCCTCTTGGGTAGAGCAAGAGAATGGGGGTGGGGATTCTAGGTAGGAGATCAACGAAGGAATTGAACACCCAAACTCTTCACCGTGAACACAGTGCTCTTTTTCCTACAGGTCTCTGCACACCCAGAAATGGAGCAGACCCCTCACCCTCCAAGTGGGATTGGTTGTTATCATAAAATCCTCCCCAGGGTCCCAAGAGATGTCAGATGTTCTCTGAGATCGTTCACAATGTAAAAGGCCTTTAAATATCAGTCCAGCATCCAAGGATCCAAAGCCCCAGTCCCTCTCTGTCCCACCCTCCTTCTCCGTTCCCTTCTCTTCCATCCTGTCTCCCCCAGCCCTGTTTATTTTTAGTGGCGATAAAGCCGGCTCCTAATCTTGAGAGTTGATCTTTCTGGGTAGATTTAATTAACTACATTTTTAACTCCACTCTCCTTGGCTTTGGCAGGAGGGAGTCATTTGTCTTACAGATGATGTGGCCTGATGGAAAGGGGAAGGGAAGAGAAAAAAAGATAATGTCAGAGCCAGCAACCCCTCTTTCCTCCCTTCATCAAAAGACATCAGCTAATGATACCATGCAGGACCACTGAAGTCAGGTCACTGTAGATGCCAGATTGGGGAGGGAGAGGGGTGGGGATGGGGAGGGGAGAAGAGGTATCTGCACTTGACTTTGTCCAAGTGATGGATGAAGCACAGTTCCGGGAACAGGTGTGTGCATGCTTGTGCTAGTGCACTGTCTGTGTGTGCCTGTGCACGTCTGTGTGGGTGTGCGTGTGTATGAGGGTGCATTTGTGCATGTATGTGGGTGTGCATGTGTGTGAGTGTGAGCAGACATGAGCATGTGTGCCCCGGGTGCCTGTGTGTCTCTGTCAAGGGTCTAACCACTCAGCCGCCCCTGCTGATGTCTGCGTGGCCTCCAGCTGCCAGAGTGATAAATGAGAACGGGGCAAAGCAGTCTGTTTTTTTCTGCCTATATTTTCCCCCTCTTTGTTTTTATTAAACGCTGATTATTAATATTAGAAATGGAACACTGCCACGAGAAGCCATTTGCAGTTAATAAGGCTGTCGCTGCTGCCTGGGGAGTTAATAGAAGGCAGGGGAAGCCATGTGAGAATCACTTAATAGCTACGTTAAACGAAGTGGGTCAGAAGCACAAGATGCAGCCCGCCCTAGTAATGCTGGTCAGTTCGGGCTGGACACGATGACCAGGAGTCCCCCCACTCCCTGTAGGGACCAGGGTCATGCCTGGGTGTGCACAGCTGCTGGGTCGCAGGCCAACTGTGTGCAAGGCGCTTGGGGAGCAGTCCTCCCTGCCCACAGCTGTGAAAACATTGGCAGGGCCTCAGGCAGGAGGCTGGTCTGTCCCAGAGGAGGGAGGACTGAGGCCCCAGACCACGCCTCACCACCCTCCTGCAGATGGCCAGCATCGGGGCGTTATTTCTCCACCTCACCCTGGGTCATGACCAGCCTCGGAATGGGAAGCTGGGTGAAAGTGAGGTTACTGAGGACTTTGAAATTCTGGAGCCACTTGACACATAAGCAAAGAGAAAATTCTGAAGCCAAATCCTGGCAGATTCATGTCCTTCCTTCAGATAGGTGAGAGCTACCAAGTTAGGTATATACCTCCCTGCTGTGGATTCTGGAGAAAGTACTTTCCTCCTGCCATAATGGAAAGAGAAAGAATGGCCGAACCCCGGGTCTGCATTCGTCCTCTGGACTGGAGGCAGATGAGACTGAGGAATATCACTCAGCACTCACATAGGGACTACAGTGCCTAGAGGACATGCATCTCTTCCTCTAAAAAAAAGGAGGGGCAGCAGCAGCTACCCTGTTGGTGAATGGAGGAGGGATGCCTTCTGATCACTGCTCTATGCTTACTGTCTCAGCAACCTTATAGCTATTGTAAGACACGGAGCAATGGGGTGCACGTTACACACTGCAAAACTGTGCCTGATGTGATGGATGGAGGGTGTGGTGCATGGGTGTGTCTAAGAGACCTGAGGGTTTATCTGCTTATTTTGTTTGGATAGTGTGTCTGTGTGCCTGTGCATGCAGATCTCTAGCTATGTGCAGAAAAACATCTGGGTGTTGGTGCAAGTGTGTTATGTGAGCATCAGTGATAGAAGGTAGCAGACACATTCCTCATCCCCTTCTCTTACCCAACGCTCTCTACCCCTCTGGTGCATATACATGAACCCTTCTGGGGTGAAATCTATTGGGAGGGCTGCATAGCTCAAGAGCCATGCAGGGTGAGGAGGAGAAAAGGCAATCAGACACAAGGAATGTGAACAAAATAACAATCATCCCGACAACAACAGCGCTTCAAATACTCCAGGGAAAACAGAGGCTCCAGGATTTCTTCTCTCACTTGAGCCCAGTTTTCTATTTCTAAGGATACAGGAGGCTAACTGTCACCCCGAAACAGGGTCTAGTTCTGCTTGCCATACAAGTCATCAAGAATCTATTGCACTCCTATTATTGGCAGGTTTTTCAGATGCCAAAAGGAAGCAGTTGAGTCACAGAGACCCTGTCCTTAGAAGCGCATTCCACATACCTAAAAATGTGTTAGTGCCATGTAGTGTCAATAAATAATCATTGAGTGACAAGATGAAGAGCTTGTGTGGAAAGACCAATAAGTATATCTTGCACATGCTTTTTGACACCCAGAGAGATCTGAGCTCAAAACCCATCCATACCAGTTTTTAAGATCTGTGTTTTTGAATATAGCCACCCAGTCAATCTCCTTTCAGTTTGTCCATCTGTGAAATGACAATACTCATAAATAGAGAACAGTATATTTGAAAGGATGCAATTAAATTACATATAGTGAAAAACAAACGAAGGGAGGTTCAACTAATTTAGGTTCCCTGCCTTGTCCTAGAAAACTAAACCGAGAACTACTTTTGAAAGTAAAGCAAGTTTGCATGTTGGTTCCAAGAATGGGCTCCAGGGTCCAGGTTCAAATCTTGTCTTTGCTACTGCTAAGTTCTGTGGCCTTGAGCAAGCAGCCCTTTTATATTCTCTGTAACTCAATCTCTTCATTGAAAAAAAAATGGAATTCCTCCTAGGCCAGTTGTCAGGATCACAAAATAATGCATATTAACAGAGAGCCTGGCACACATTCATTTCTTCATAAAGAATGGTTATTGTTGTTATATCTCTGATGAAGTTCCCTGGGGAAGGTTGATCAAGATTTCCCTTGAACACTTTAGGTGAATAGAATAGGGTGGTTGAAGTCCTTTCCTGCAGAGAATCTATGTCCCATGTGATGAGCATAACACCTTGCTTATGATGAGAAAGGGTCTGTCTATTCTGAAGTGAGACTCAGGAAAAATAATGGCCCTGCTGATGTCAGAATGAACTGGTCTAGATTTTCCCTGTGTCATCTCAGCTGGAGAGAGCCCCCAGTTGTGCACCATCCATTCAGGCCAGCATTTACCGAGAAGCATGTAGGACCAGAAAGCTTGAACAAAACCTTCTGGAGGAGAAAGGCAGTGACCGATGACCTTCAGAATTTAAAGGTCTTTTGAAATGACCTGTGCTGGAGGCAGAAGGTGAATACTTGAAAGGGAGTCATTGGCCATTTGAGAATTGGAACAATACGATTTGAGAGATGGCAGCCTGAATCTTTCAGGGGCAATGCCAACCTGCCAACTAGTTAAGTATGTCCAGGGGCTCACCCACTGATCAAAACATATTACAGAGGGCCAAGAAAAAATGAGAGAAGTTGTCTACACTAGCCCAGAAAGCTCACTTGACTGATGTATTCTAGTTTTCTTCTTGAATTGACTTCCTTTTTTTCCCATGCACAAAAATCTTCACCTTCCCAGGAAGATGTTGGGCATGGATAACCTGTTGGTAATGTCCACCTGGAGAAGGCATGGGAAGGTTTCATTCAAGGTAGGTGCTGGATAAAACAACAACAACAACTGTGGATCAGAAGCAGTGCCCCCTCCTCTGGAGAGGAAAATGGGATACTAAAGTCATCCAAGCAAGGTCTGGTGCTCTGTGGGCTACCTGTGGCTGTGGGCAAACCCAGAAATGTCTACCCTATAAAGAAGGGGGGGAGACAGATTTTATGGAATAAATAGTTCCCTGCTATAAATGAGCAAAAAAAAATTCTTAATAATTAGAAGAAAATGTCATATCCTCCAGTTTTGTAATAGATGTTCCAGTTGGCACCAAGGGATTAGGGAAGAAATAATCATCAGTATTTGGTGTAAGGGACGCAGAAGTGGCAGAAGTTAAAGAATTCTGTCAGGGCTTAGGAGACTAGCTTCTTAGACCAAAAACATCAGATCCACAGGTTAATGACCACATCCCTTGATGTGGTGTAGATATAGGATGCAGTATGTCCTAACGCCTTCCTTTTAGGACATAGTTGGTTCTAAAGGTGACTGTCCCCTTGATAGACAGCTGTGACCTGACTAAGGCCAGCAATAATCTTCACATGGTGCCTGACATGTGTCTGTGACCAGAAAAGTGACAGAAGGGGATCCATCATCTCAGAGTCTCAGACACAGGAGGACCTTGTCCTCCCAGCCCTAGTCTCAGTCTGAGAATTCTAGGCTGTACATTGGCTCCTCTGGAGAACATTTTGAAGAATGCAGTGTTCAATCCAGTTCTGCGCTCATTTGAACATAACTTGGGCTTCCCCAATGCAAACAATCCAGGTAAAATGATTCTCAAACACATCTCAACTGCAAAGCACTGGGAACGTGCTTTGTGGTACCAATTTAAACATTAATGCA